GAAGATGCTGATGTTGGAACAGACTGACTGTGCTTAGGGAAGGCTCCGAACAGGCAAGGAAAACGTATTGGTTGGGAATTAACTTTATGGCTTAAAAAGGAAAAGAAATTGGCTAAAACCAGGTGATGGGTACAGTATGCCAAATCCCTCCGAGACCTCTGTAGAGCTATGACTTAACGTCCTGTTTCCAGGGAATGAGGGTGGGCTTAGTTCAGGAATATAGTAGCCAAAACCAACCTCTGACCCCAGCCAAAATGGTTTAGGAGAGCTACTTAGCTGGTTTTAATGGGAGTGGCCGGAGCAGCTGTGCAGTGTTTGTTCTCAATTTTCCATCGGCAGGGAGGTGAACAAGCTAATTTAAAAGATTATTTCCATCTCTAATTTCTCCTGGATTCCGTCCCCATGGTCAAAATAACAGAAAATGTCTTGATTTTTGTTTCTGATGCACATGCAGGTGCAGCAGTATCAGCTATTGCTGTTTTTAAAGTGTTCCTTTTTTACCTCCAGGTGAAAACTGGAAAATGCAGATTTAAAAGACTTGTAAGTGCTGCAAACTCAGCACTTTGAATGTGATTGTGAAGAGGATAACTACATTGTCAAATCGTGAATAAAGCGTATTCATACCAAACTTACTTAAAAAAATAAGCCGGACATCTAAAAGTACGTAGAGCTTATTCTACGGTGTAATGAAGGTCTAATATAATATTGTTTTACCTGTGACAGACTCCTCACCTGACTCCTGTTAGACCGGAAATTATTTGAAAGCTGTGTTCTTTTTACAGTCTAGTGTGAGCAATTTGCTGATAGCCACAAGGCTTGGCCAGAAGAAGCTCCGTGCACGCATCTCCTCTCGTGTAAGTAGCAAACAGCAGCTTGGACAAAAGTGTGCTGAGACGATGGGAGCTGTTGATTCAAACTTTTTTTTTTTTTGCTGTATTTTATTTTCTCTGTCTTCACGTTTCAGGATGTTGTCTGTGGAAACAGTTTATTTTCCATGAGACAGAGCACTCTCTGGTCTGCTTCTATACAAGAATGTATTTTTTACGTTAAAAAAAACCCCAAACAAACCAACAGGTTTTCAGTTGTGTTACGATGATACATGTGACCAAAGCCACAGTGGTGGTTTTCCACAAAGCGGTAGTACTGTTGCAGGTGCAATTGAAGGATCTGGCTTACAAAAGGCTTGT